CAGGAAAAGGACATGAAGAAAAAAGTGGTGAAATATGAATAAAGTATGAAATTTAGTTAATAGGAAAGTACCAGTGTTGGTTCCTTACTTGTGAAAAATGGGTCATAATAATGTAAGATGTTAATGGGGAAAACTAGGTGAATAGCATACAAGGAATCTCTAAACACCATTGCTACTTTTCTGGTAATCTAAAAGAGAAAACAGAAGCCAACTGGAAGGGCTCCCACTGGCCACTTTTCTAGGTAAAAATGATAGGAATGGGTTATAATCCAATGGGAAAAAAATCCATGACTATATACTGATATAAATAAATGGAAGAAACAATGCTTTGCCTTACAGGCAATAAATATAGCAGGAGTGGTGCAATTAGAAAAATCTGTATTTAGCAGTTATTACAATTATTCATTTAGCAAAGAAACGTAAATAGATGCTAAAGCAAGTGGGTGAAAGTCTATGTGGAATGGGATAAGTACCTACCACAAAAAAACTAATAATTACCAAATAGTTAATTTACAGTAGAGAAATTTGGCAGATGGCATTTTACTCAAAGTTAAGATGACCGGTTTTATGGCTTGGATCAAAAATGCCCCTCAAAAGGCTCATGTGTTCAGAGGTAAGGCTTTTTGAAAGGGATTATCTTGTGGGAAAACTGGCCTCAGCAGTGTGCCACCCCATTGATGAGTTCATAACTCATTGTGCTGTTAGGAGGTGAGTCTTGGTTAGAAGGACGTAGGTCACTAATGCCATAACCTGGAAGGGTATATCCTTACTGCGGACTTCTTCCTTTCCCTCTGGCTCTTCCTTGCCTTCTGCTTCCTGGCTGCCATGAGGTAAGCAGCTTTCCTCTACCACATCATTCCACCATAATGTTTCTGCCTTGGAGCTCACCAACAATAGGCTAAAAACTCTAAAATAAGCCAGAATAAACTTTTTGAGCTTTAAAGTTGTGAATGTTAGGTATTTGGTCCCTTCCATCAAAAGCCAACCCCAGTAATGGGAGAAATTTTGTACCACCTGAGAGAATGGATTGCATAAACTGTAATATCTCATGTATGATATCCCTGCCAGAAAAATAAATTATTTAAATTTAAGCATGAGGAAAAATCAGATAAACTGTAACTGAAAGATTGTAATCTCCTTGTAATCTTTAAGAATGTGATTCATGAAATTCAAGGATAGACTAAGGAATAGTTCCAGTGGAAGGAGATAAAGGAATTATATCTACTAAATGTAATACATGATATTTTTGCTAAAAAAGACATTTCTGGAACAATTAGCAAAGTCTGAATGGAGGCTTTGGGTTACTTGATGGTAATAAATCAGTGTTGACTTTCTCATTTTGATGTTTTATTTTTGTGGTTTTGTAACATGTATCAGACACCTGCTGTCATATAGTTCATGGAAGCTAAGAGTAGTTGTTTTTACTATTCTTGAATCTTCTTTGCAAGTTTGAAATTATTTCAAAATAAAAGTTTATCACAGGCCTGGGGATTTAGCTCAGCGGCAAAAGCGCCTGCCTGGCAAGCGCAAAGTCGTGAGTTCAGTTCCCGGTACCAGAGAAAAACCAAAAAAAAAAAAAAAAAAAAACCAAAGCAAGGATGCCCACTTTGCT